AGGGGAAAGTGGGAAGAGAACAAGCAGAGCATCCTGAACTTTTTCTTCTTTAACTTTAAAAATTATACACCACAAAGCAGCAATAAGAATCTTAGAATTCTTTAAGTACAATACTTGTGAGCACCTGAAGTTACTAATATTAGAAATATTTCTTTGAAACATCACTTAAATACCCTATGTTACCCCAGATTTTTTTGCAGCTTAGTTTACTGCATCTGTCTTGGCATCTAGTGGCACCTGGCCCTTGCTATATTATTTGCCATTATGTTAAATGGCATCACCCCTTGTACAGATTTAAAATTTGCTCCAAAAACGTGAAGGGTTTCTTCCCTGCCACCCTTGAAACTACTGTGAATGAAATGTTTTCTATACAGCTCATTTAAATCAAACACTAAATCACATGGGTTTCTAGCATGCCAGAAAGGAAGTGCCAAAACCCAATAAGCATCACGTGCTAGCATCCAAAAAAACCATCACACACCCTGGAAAAAGTCACGAATAAGGGTGAAAGTAGCTAATCACTAGAACTTCCAGACTGAATCACTTTTCCTAGTACCTAAAAATATTCCCTACAAAATCTACAGCTTGACCCACATATATGGTAGATTTACGATAGGAACGTAAGACTGAAAGGGGCCTCCCTGGGTTATTCTTACTGTCCTTCCTCTAATGCTGTTGTAAAGCAGCTCTCACTAGATCCAACTTGAAAAATACCTACTGGAGAATTAGGTCTTGATTATTTCTTTTTCTGGAACTGTAGTGCTACCCCAAGCATTAGAATTCCAATTCCAGTCTCATAAACCAGAGGGTCCAGGATTAGGAGTAATGCCAGGGCAAGCATCTGCTGTTACAAGCACAGTAGTGGGACTTGTACACAAGCTTCAGTAGAGTAGTGGCTCAGAGGGAGCAATGCCCTTACAAAAGCAAGCATCAGTTATTAGAAAACACAGCAAGAAAGGGAAGGATTACAGAAAAAGGACTAAAGCATGAACCTATGTCACTATGTGCTCAGATTACTACCAGTATGAAAATTGCATTGGGAGGAAATGTTGATGAGTTACAATATTTCAGCTCTGTCCACTTACATAAGTCAGCCATTTTACTATTGACCTACTTTATATCAGCAATACATAAATTTGCCACAGCACATTCTCCAACTGCAGCCAAAAGAAATCGTGAAACTATACGTTAAGGGTGCAGTGTCAAAGCAACTAATGTTAATTATGCCCTTTAATCCAATGTTGATGAAATTAAAGTATCACTGCTAACTATTAATACAGCATTTACTATCTAAATCTGACTGGCTTTACCAACCTTTGAAAGCCACTGAATTAACATCCTGCTCCACAATGTTCACTTTATGCCACATTGGAATGTAAATGTAAAACACGTGTAAAAATAACTTCTGCTATTACCCCATGAATATGTGTAAATATACATTCCTTTTTTGCCTCGCTGTTTACCTGCTCAGTCTATACATCTTCCACTCAAACTAAAAACATCTTGAAAGTTTAGTCAAATGGCAGCTTTTGCTAATGCAGGCAAATGATGTTTCCCTTAAATCATGGCATTTACTAGAGAAAGCTATGAGAAGAGAGCCAGTGTACTGTAGATTTAGGAGCGTTCAGAAGAAAATTTAATGTGGATGTGCAAGACTGGAAGCAATGTCCCTGTTTTACTGCACAGAACAGCTTTAGAGAGAGCACCATTCATTTAGATTTTAAGACCATTCATACTCCAAACTATATATATAAAAAAAAGGCAAGTTCTTATTTCAGATCTGCTCTGTGCAGATGTGCTCAGTTTGGTAACCAAAATGTTTACTAATGTCAGCAACAAAAAAATTCAACCTAGAATGACTAACTCTTTTCTTTCTGGTTTGCATATCAGCAGAAGGGTTTGAGTTCCCATGGCAGTGACCCTCAGCAGTTTTACTGCATCCAAATTACTCTCTCAAATTACACTTGTACTCTGTTCAGCTGATAGTGATAGGAATACATGGGTTTAAGAGTAAAATTTACTCCAGTGCTACTGAGGAGGTGAACAGCCAGACAAAACAGTTTGACTTTCAGATCCCAGGAGGAAGTGTGTAGTTCTTATTAGCTCCAACACCATGCATCTTCCTTGTTAATTGAGCCAATCTGATGGTAAGTGTGGAACCAAATGCAATTTGTACAGTCACTTCAAAAAGTAAAACTACTCCAGGCAGAGGTTATTTGTCAGCTGGGGCAGGGGTGGAATCCATGAAAGAACTAGCAATGTGCAAAAAACTGCTTTGGGAAACCAGCTCAGCAGCAGAATACGGATAACTGGGGAGAGAGTTTAAGGTCTTTTTCGGTACTTCATTTTTAAGTGCACAACTAGTGATTGGCAGGATGGTGAGGAGGCAAGTGCTAGTGTGAAACCGATAAAGAGGCAACTCAGTTGTGTGGAATCCTGTACAACAGGGGGAAGAACGAACCAGAACCATTTGTTCTCCTGGAGCAAGACACAAAGGTACTTTAGTCCCAATATTGTAAGTTACTGTTGGGTAAATTTTCAGTTTAACTACTAAAAAGTTAAGGTTAAACTCTGAGCTACAGTGTATGGAGAAATTTTATGGGATCCCCAGTTAGAATACCCACAAAACAGGAGTTATTATTCAGTACTCAGCATGAGGCCTATGAACTTTGGTGACCAGTTGATACAAGCAGGATGTGGGTATGCCTCATGCTTATTAATCATGTTCCTACAACTTAAGCCTTGGTTTCAAAAATATACATGTTGAAGTTTTAAATTGATATTTGTCCTAGTAGCACCAAAACAGGATCCTTGCAATAAAGGTTCTCACAAGCTTAATCCACACCTTCATAGCAGAATTCTCTATGCCCTGCCACCACTATGCACCAAATATCTACAGAAACAGAAGAGCTTTATTTGTATTGGGACAGATTTAAAAATTCCAGTTCAAAAAAATGCCAGCCACTGGCAACAGATGGCATCAAATACTAATTACAGCTACAGTTAAAAAAAAAAAACAAACAAAAAAACCCTAGTCTATGTAAAGTATGAAGGCACCTTACCTTAAAAGGATTAAAATGTTAGCTATCTGAGGCAGTATTTTTTCCAAGCTCAGTGTCAATGTCCGACACAGCTGGAATCAATTGCCTGTTTACAAAGCTGTGCCCAGCTTGAGACAAAGACAGTATCCGTAGCTGATGTTTTCATTATCTGCATATTAATGTCTGAAGCAAAACTACTTGGCTACTCCTCTTGGTGCTATTCATATTTACTACCTGAAAAACAGGACTGTACAAGCACCAGTAGATGAAAACAGCTTTTTTTTTTTTTTTTTTTTTTTTTTAAAAACACCTCTTGTGCAAAGAGTTTACTTTAACAGGAAACCACTCAGTGCTTTGCTTGCTTTAGTCAGACATACTGTACCTGGCCAACAGCTAAATGCAGCAAGCTTGTTTTTGTATTTCTACTGCTTTATATTTCACTTTTGTTTCTGGGTGCAAAAAATATAAATTTTCACTTGGTGAGATGATTTAACCAGAAGAGTGTGAAACAGCAAAGACTTAATGCAGCAATATTTTGAAGACCTTCAGTTCTGCTACTGTCACACTTTTCTGATTAAAACAAAAAACACCTCCCAAATTTCCATTTCTTTACTAGTAGCTGGTATAATTTACAACTGAAGCTCAACCAAAATAAACCCCAATGCCATCACAAAATACCTTGGATGTACTGACAGTACATCCAAGGAGAACTGTAAGTGGAGGTAAAATTTTGTACCAAGTTAATTTTATCATGGTCTGTACATACTTGGTAAAACAACTTTCAAGAGAGAAGTAGAAGGGAAGCTGGCAGGGAAAAAAAAAACCACAGCAACAGTTCAGACCAATGCTGTGGTCACCCATCAACTAAAGCAATACAAAACAAGGCCTAGATTTGGGCTACAGCATACTTAAGGAAGTTACCAAGATAGATAGGGATTAAGACTGAACCAGCAAGAGAACTAAAACTCCAGAAAATTCAGTGAAACCTGCTATGGTATAGGAAGTCTGATTAGTGCACTAGGTAAAGAAGATTAGGTAATGAGTAATGATTCTGCCATGTTTTTAAAATCAGCATTACAGCTTTAGCATGCTGTTACTGCAAGCAAATTAAAGGCATTTCATACTAATGAAACAAGAAGATGCATTATATCATGAACCAGAAAAGCCTTAAATCTTATTCCAGTACTTTTTCATATGCCAGTAAGGTGGTAAGAATTTATTTCAACTGCAGCTAACCCATGTACAGTATAGTGTAGTGCTTAATGGAAATACGTTTACTCATGATCCATTTGTTTGGGATACAAACTTCAGAATATGTTCTTATCAGCTTAGTTGTTGCCAAAATTTGGGAGGGAGAAGGGGCAGGGGGGAGAAAGAAAAAGAAAAAAAAAAAAAAAGATGTCACATACCTTTTGTTGAATCCTATCTTAATGGGCTTTTTAAAAGTCAAGTCTTGCATCTGAAGAAGAGAGGCAACCAACCTTCCTGCAGTGGTTAACCTGCTCTTAAGGCTATAGGACACTTGTCCCATCAATTGCCAATTAGCAGGAAATCCATCAGGAAAGAAGTGAGAACTTTTCAAGAAGTTGGTAGGACTTGGACCCTTTAGTTTGCTATATCTTCACTTGCTCAGGAATCCATGTAAATTTTAATCCTCTGGATTTAGTCATGCCATCTCTGGTAGATGTTATTTCTGCACATTTGCATAATATCCTGAAATTATTGGCCCAGGAGTTATTTCCAGACTGACTGATTTTAAAAAGTTATTACATGACATGTTAAAATACTGTTTCCCTAGACTTCGAGCATTAATACAAACGTCATCTTCATTAATCCACATCTGTATTGTTTCCTAACATCAACGTGCCATTTGATTTTTCTTATCCTTCTAGTACCCATTACACATAGACTGTGAGACAAATAATTAACTGCTCCTATGCAATCACGACAAGAGATTAATTAAAATGCCAAGATAGGAAACAATTTATTATAGAGAGAAGAAAAATTTCTCATCCAAAATATAGAAATCTGTACAACTTTGCCACAATCAATATACATGAACTGTACAAATTTACACCAGTTCATAATTTACCAAATAAAAGATGACTAACAAAGTTCACAAAATAGATGGTGGTTTGTGGAAAAGACTTTTACCCAATTAAGTACAAGGAAATTACAAACCAGACCTCCACTTTCTAAAAATAAAAAGTTTACTCAAGTCTTAGAAAACTACAAGCTAGCAAATGTACAGATAGCTGGCTGGTGCTAACACCACAGTTCAGACAGTGTCTTTGTAAGGTCTTTTTAAAGCCTGTTGCCATGGCAAATTCTGGTCACTTGCTACTTTCAAGGCCAAAAAAAAATGAAGTTCTGACCATTTTTCCCAGGTCATGCTTACTAGTTTGTCTTATGTAAATTTATACATAGTGTAAGCGCTAGGTAAAAGTCTACAATAAAGTTTCCAGTACTGTCCTGCATATAACAAGCCTTGTTACTGAGCTGTCAAAAATGGTAACAATCTAAAAATGTAATAGTGCAAATTTACTCTGCAAGACCTACTGCAGAGAATCACTTGATAAATACAGATTTGGGTTGAAAGGACTGGTATAGAAATTGAGATAGATATCTGGGAAAAGCTGAACCTTCCTAAGCCTTCTTCACTCCCTAGCAAATGATGATCATTTTGACTCAACTCACAGGCTATTAAATCACTGAAAGGTACTGTCCAAACTATGGCACTGTCACTTTAAAGTTTACCACTCTCTATTGTGTGCCAGATCTTCACAGCTGTGACATGGTTTAAATTCCATAATCCATCCCCAGAGGTGCCCCACCCAAAGTAAAAACCAAATTTATCCATCCATTTTAAAAAGGTGATCCATCCATAGATTATATCTTAACCCGATACAGTCATCATATTGTAGCTTTTGGAAGGGCTTGTTCTACCCAAGAGAAGTTCCTCCTTGCAGCTTATTCTGCTGTCTACCATTTGCATGTTGGTGTTATTTTGACTGCTTCCTGCTGGGGCTGCTTCATACAGCACACAGATTGAGCCATCCTCTCCAATACGGTAGGAGACTTCATATGGGTCAACCCATAGGGTGAGTTCACTTGGAAGAAGCTGGAACAGTTCCTGACTGCTCAGTCCAATCCGTTGAGCTGCCTGTCCAATGAGAGGATCCATCTTGTGGTTGATCCGGATACATCGGTAACCTGATCCCTTGCATGGTTTTTCGGGGAACCAGTGATGTTTATAGTGTTCTACAGAATAAGAAGAGAGATTATGCTGCTTAGCACTTTCATTTTAAAAAAATATGAGTATGTACTATGACAAGTGGGGCGGGGGGTTGGTTTCTTTGTTTGTTTCTTAAAGTGATTTCACACTTAAGGGTCTGGAGATGTGATTTTTCAAACCATTAAACTGACTAAAATATGCCACGAACTTCTAAAATCCTTATGAACTGCAGACCTAGAAGACCCAGTGGAAGCTAAGAACTTTAAATCTTTTTGGAGAAAAATACCATGGAAGACAACATAACATTCACAGAGAAAAATATTCATTTCCAGCCACCATCTAGTTAACAGTTACCCATCACACATCAGAAAGCAAGTCAAAATGCTAGTGTTTGTTGCACTAAGCATTAAACAAAGCTAGTTACATATGAAGTAGTAAGCTCAGGGTCTTCAGAGACCCTGAATTTATTACTGTTCCTTCAAAGGAAAAAGGAAGGATTGAAAATGCTTCAGGATGATTTTTCCCCTCTTTACAAGGGCTGTTAAAGTTTAACCAAGGGAACAAATGGCTGCTACTTATGGATTTCCAATCAAAATTAAACATGTTTTGCTTAATGCCTTACGTCATCCCTCTCTCCCTCACTGGCCATTCTGCCACCGGTCATTATGTTACAGGCAAGAGCTTCACTTACCTCATTAGCGCCACAGGCGCAAGGCAGTTTGAGGCGTAAGATAACTAACCCACATGAGCAAGCACTTCAGACTCAGCCCTTGGCTCAGGGGCAGGGACAGGGATTTCCTGTGTGCGTGTGTGTGGCCAGCAGGCAGTACAAAGACTCACAGTCCCTATTGAAGCCTTCCAGCCATACCACTGTGGGACTAGATTTCTAGACAGCCTTTTGTAGCAAAGTCAGCCAGTGTGGAGGCAACA